ATCTCTCGCACGGTGGAACGGATAACGGAGAGAAGGAAGTTGGGAGAGTAACGCAGGAAGGTATCTCCCTCTACGCAGAACCTTTCGCAGAATCCTGTGCATCGTTCGGCTACCGTCCGCCTCTGTTATTTCGGCCGGTTTTCGCGAGCCATTTAAACGAGCGAAAATACACGGAACTTTCGAGTCCGCGTCGCTGGCTTTCAAGTCGCTCCTAAGTCGGGGGACTGTTCGTCGTCCCTGAAACTCCTGGGAGCAGCATGGCCTGTCCCGTTTTATTGGAAAGTTCGCCCCGGCGAAACGCGAAACGGCACGAGACCCCTTGTCATCGGTAATCGTATCGATCCAGGCTTTCCTTTATTCGTCCCGGCCAGACAAGATGACGAGCGGAAGTCCGTGGCAATCTGGCAGAACGGGAACAGGAACGGGACGGGATAATTTGACGGAATCGGGGCGGTTCGATCCTGCGAGATGGCAATTAACGCGCGACCGAATGTCTCGGTGGATCTTCGGTACCGCTAGGGATCCGACACGAACACTTTGGTAGCTAACAGTATCACGTAACGGTCTGCCAGTTTGGCGTTCGTTAGGAATACGGGGGATGGTGGGTGTCCTAGAAAATAATTCTGTATTGCCAGCTGTACGTCCTGCGGATTGGGATTACTAGAATTACCGTCACAATTATTCATTCCGACTCAAAGTTTCTAGCATTGAAATGATCACGCAACGATCCAGCACTCTATGATCTTCGAAACATCGGGGATGCAGTGGGTCTCATAGAAAATTCCCGATTGCCACTCGTACATCCTCGAACCTCGAAACAAATGGTCAGGTCTCGAGACTCGGCGTGTACAGGGTTAGCGTAATAGTCCTTAATCGTTCATTTCTCCGGAACAGCTCGACACGGGTAACCCGTTGAAGAGGTCGTTTCTAGTCGGAATACGTGATCGGCGGTCCGTGTTTTACATACAATCGCGATTCAGCCCGCGCACACCGCGTTAACCATGAACCCGGGCAACCTTGGGATTCGGTGAAACTGTTCGACCAGCGTCCACGCCGTGCTAGGGCTTTCGCCGAGCGAATCTCGGTCAGCAGCTTCGACAGGGTACATTGTGGCGAACTGGCTTGTCCTCTCTTCGACGATAAAAGGATAAAAGCACTCGAACGTTGCTAATCAGAAGTAACGGAGAACTTTCAAATATTGTCGCAGACAAGAAACGAGAAGCGAGAAATATTTTCTTGATTCCGATTTCGATTCGATTCGTCCCGCGATCGGATTCGTATCGGTGCAGCCTATTTGCCTGCCGGAATTCTGGCGTTCCTCGGCGACGAGCGACACGGCACGTCCATATCTCTGCCGGTTCGGAATGAACGCGACCCGACAACGGGTGGGAACCTTGATTTATTTCGATTTCGTCTCGCTCGCGCGCCGCTGCTATATTTTCCCCCCCATTCGGCGCGTATATCGACGCCGGAGCCCGGTGCCGGGCGACCGTGTCGCGCGCGCATTGGAAAATATGGAAGCTCATCCTTGAAATCCACACGTTTTTCACTCTCCTCTCCTTCGTTCTTTCTTTTGCCTCTCCCATCCGCGCGTTGCATTAAGGAACTATTTATAACGACACCCTTTTTCTGCTTCCCCGCGCACCGCCGCCTCCGCCTCCGCCGCCGCCGCCGCGGATCGTGAAACGTCCCGCGACGGTATCGCACGGCTCGGGATCAGTATTCTTTCCGCGGCGTTGTTCCACTTTCCATCGAGGATGATAAACAAATTACGCAGGTGTCCCGCAGTCCTTGATTCAGTTCTTTTCTCGCTCGTGAATTTCGTGCCGGCGCGGTAACGCGGAACGTTTTCTCCGGACGCGTTTCGGAAAAGCGTCCACCTCGCGCCTTGAATTCCGAATCGCCGCGTTGGACTCGTGACGGAAATTTCGAATAGAATTTAGCGAACGTTAAGACCGTTCTGGCAACTTTACGATCGGTGTTCCGTTGATCGTTAATTCCTAATGAAAATAACACGCTGACACGAGAATTTTTTAACGTTTCAATATTACAAATGGTTAATGATTAGGTATCATGACTGGGTACATAGATTCAACATAAGTTTCCTTCATGTAATTTTCAAGCATTTCGGAAGCTCCTGTCATCGCTAACAACCGTGGTTAAACTGCTAATCGATAAACTGCAACTAAAGCCGCGAAAGAATGGTTAAACCGAAGGGTTGAAGCCAGCCAGTGATATTCTTCGTGCGAAGCAACCATTGTTCCACCTAAGCACATACCACTGGTACTTCTAGTACAACGATCCCATTCAACGTTACTCAATTGCGAGGGAATTAACGAGCGAATCGCTTAACAAGTTAACGTCCGACCGCGAACCGCTCTGTAAAACAGTAATTCCCGTTTATAGATTCCCCGGAGATCTGCCGTGCGATCGGCCGATCGAGCGGATCGCTCCGCTGGAGTGAAGCGTCGTCGTTGCCAGTCGAGAAATCAATTCGCCCGACATCTTGGCGGCAAGGGAGCTCGGCCAGAGGCGGGAAAACCGTGCGTGTGCACGCGGAAACAAGGCGTCGCGTCGCTTGCCGATCCACGGGGATTGACACCGTTCCGTTGACAGCGTATCGATATTGGCTCGCCGCTATTTTTAGTGGGCCGTATCGTATTCTAAACGATGCAAACCGCAAACGTGACCGAGTTATGCGACGCGAGGCGTGCACGCGGTGGCCACGGTTCGCGGGACACGGGCCGCTCGCTCGCCGCTATCGGCCGCCGCCGATTACGTCGTTTCGACGGCGGAGCGCGCGGCCGATTATCCGGTCCCACACCTGGAACCGTTCCAGGGATGTTCGCCGTCCGGCCGAAATTCCCGGCCGAACCTGCCCGTTATCGCGCCCCGGGATATCGGCTGGAGACCTGCATTCGAAATTCCGTGTCACCGCGACTTTGTGCGGCTGAAGGCTCCAGCGACGATTGCGAGCACGGTCGTTTCTTTGGGACACTGGAACGAGACGACGCGTCGCGGACTGCTGGGGTGTTCTTCGATTGGTACTCGATGCCGTCTCTTTTGATTTCGAAGTGGATGGATGCGGAGGATTGAAGGAGGTTGTTTGACCCTTTGGAAAGGTCTATAGATTGTTTACACTTTGAGTTACGAATGATTTAGTTGTTCTAGTAATAGGAGACGAGTATATAGATCTTTTTCTTTCTGTAAGGCCTCGAATGTTTCGAGAATTTCATTGTTTACATAGACGAGGAACAACAACGAAGAAGAAAGTGATATGGAGAAACGAAAGGTCCACGCGTCGGTCCTTTTCGAGTTCAAAGTGATTCATAGGTTGTCCGGAATAACGACCACTCTTTGCTAGAAATGTCCCAGTTGTATCCAGCATTATAAATAGGTGCACTGACTCAGACTCCGACAGCTGTGCGTTTACACGCGCGCGAACAATCGTACCTATTAGATCTCTCGATAAAAAGGTCTTTACGACGGAACGTTACGTGCGTCCGCGGAAAATGGCGCGCGGAATCGCCTGTGCGAACCGTTGCGAATGGTCGTAACAACTTGTTGGATGACGGAACGTCTAACAGTTAGACACAAGACGGAGCACGCTCAGCTCTGACCCAGGACAAACTTGATCGGCAGCCGATCCTCCGCGTGGGGCCCTGAAATTTCAGACTATCCAACGTTTTTCGCCAGTGTCACTTTCGAAATACATCATTTTATCAATGTCCTAACCAGTCTGGCGCTTAATGGACGGGTCTGAGGCTGGTTCTAGCCGATAGAAAGCGGTAACTGGTTAGGAATGCTCGGCCCGTTCAACGTAAACACGGAACATAGTCTCCGAACCGACGAATCTTCGTAGCTAAAGGCTCCGTGAACCAGCGGAATTTTTCTTATCCAACGATAGCGCGACGGCTGGATGGCTCCAGAGTCTTCAGAGCGCGCGGGATTTGAAGAATCATCGGGACAAGTGGCGCTCGTGCTCGCGTTGCCAAACGCTCCCGTCAAGTTCCGAGACAAAGAAATTGTCGCCTCGGAATACGAATTTTTTCCATGTGCCCCCTTCAAGAAAGAGGGATCCCGATGGGACCGAAAGAAA